AAATTGATTTTTACATGAATAATTTTAATTGATTAATTAATTAATTTAAAGTCAATCTTTATTTTTTTTATATAAATAATTAAAAAATTACATATATTATACATTTTATATGTGAAAAAACCTATTAGAAAATTAAAAATACTATAATTACATTTTAATGTAGAGAATGCTCGAACTTGCGTTTCCTCCACAATGGGCAAGGTCACAAACAGGTAGAATCACTACACCTGTTACGTAAAGGTACTACACAATATTCTACTTATTCATTGGTTAAATACCATTTTTGATCCCTCTATTATAGGAAAAAGTTCATTTTTAGTCATTGTATTGAAAAATTTCTTTTTTAATCCTTACTGTTTGAAATCTGACTTCTTTTGGGTCCTTCCATTAAATTTTGACTGATATGGCAGGTAACTAACAGAAAAACTTATTTTTTTCTTTATTTTAATTATGTGGAAAATCCACTTGGTACAATTTGATGACATGGCCAAATTTTTTTTGTCTAATTTAACCTTAAAAATCATTTAATTATATAATTACCATTATAAATATTTTAAAGATTATTTTGTGATTAAAAATACTTACTTTAGTTACTTATTTGCCCCCATCTTCTTCCTTCCTCTAGCCTCTTTTTTTTTTCCCTTTCAAATCTCACCAGGATCTTTGCGAACCCAACGTTGGGTTTGCGTTGGGTTCGCCTAGGTTCGTGATGGGAAATCCAGCACTTGGGTTCTCGTGGGTTCGTGACGCGAACCCAACGCCTGGGTTCGTGTGGGTTTGTGATGCTAACCCAATGCTTGGGTTTGCATCACGAACCCAGTGCTTGGGTTCATGTCACGAACCCAGCACCTAGGTTTGCGTGGGTTTGTGACGCGAACCCAACACCTGGGTTCATGTAGGTTCGTGACGCTAACCTAGCAATTGGGTTTGCAAAATGAACCCAGGATTTAGGCTGGGTTCGCGACAAACCCAAGATCTAAGCTGGGTTCGCGATGAACCTAGCTCATGGTTTCATCTACTGATTATGTTTGAATGCTAGAACTTTGTATTTCGTATTCCATTTTTCGTTTTCATTGTCTCTAAATATGAATGATGCGGATTTAGCTTTTGAATTTCATTTGATGATTAGATCGTTCTTAGGAATGATTTTGAGTATTATAATTGGAGATTTGAATCTCTTTTGTTATGTATCTTGCTTTTTATATTAGTTTTAGCTTGCATCTACTGATTCTAAGTATGAAATATTTTGATTTCATGTTTGAATTTTGACTATTGATTTGATCATTCAAAGAATTGGATCATTGTGACGAATCCAAGTTCGCGACGAACCTAGCGGCATAAGACAGAAGGGGGAAGAAGATAAGACAGAAGTGGGAAGAAGATAGGGGCAAATAAGTAATTAAAGTTAAGTATTTTTAATTATAGAATAATCTTTAAAATATTTATAACGGAAATTATGTAATTAAATAATTTTCAAGGTTAAATTAGGTAAAAAAATTTGGCCATGTCATCAACTTGTACCAAGTGGATTTTCCACATAATTAAAATAAAGAAAAAAATAAGTTTTTTCGTTAGTTAACCTGTCATATCAGTCAAAATTTAATGGAAGGATTAAAAATGGGCCAGATTTCAAACAATAAGGATCAAAAAGGGAATTTTTTCGGTACAGGGACTAAAAAGGGGTTTTTCCTATAGTAGAGGGACCAAAAAGGGTATTTAACCCTTATTCATTTGAATTGACCCTATAGTTTGAACGGTTGAATTGGTTAAACCAGCTAAATCGAGAAATAAGGATCAAAATGATTTGACCTTTGAGTCGGTTTTTAAAACATTGATTATAATGTTTAAAAAGATTAACTTATAAATTAATTTTTATATTTTAATTAATAAATATTAATTATTTTATTAATTAATAATTAATAATTAATATTAATTATTTTTAATAATTAAACTAAATAAAACTAGTATTTTTAAATACAATATTAAGAAATTTATCATATTTTTTATTTATAACAATAACCATGCGTGGCTAGGGATGGTATCGGT